AAAATTTTCATTACGTTTATTATTGTCAGGATTTTCAAATTATTTATCATTAAAACAAAATTAGACTTTGGTTTACAATAATAATTTACTAACTACTACAATTCAGGTTGTACCAACTCACCTCGGTCCAAAAGAAAAGCGGCGTTACTTTGAGCCACTTCATATCCTAATTCGGATAATAAGGCATATATCATAAAAGCCTCGTCGTAATCTTCATCCCTGTAAAGCGAATGAGCTTCCATGAGTTTTTCTCCCCATTTCCCTCTTTCGGCAACGTTTTTATAAAGTTCAACAGCGGTGGGACATGATCTTATTAATCCTGTTCCGGTTGCATGCATTTGTGCCAAATTATAAAATGCCAAAACATGTCCCGATTGAGAAGCTAATGTGAAATATTTATTGGCAAGTTTATAATCCCGACGAACTCCAAGTCCACCTAAGTAAATTATTATTTAAAATAAATCAGTTAAATTTCATTTTTTTTTTTTTAAATTCAATAATAATAATAATAATTTATTGAATTCAATATTTATTTATAAAAGGTTAAACTTACTGAAATACATGTTTCCCAGCTGAAGTTGTCCATCGACCCAACCTTGTTCTGCTGCTTGAGAAAAATATTTCAAAGCTTTGTTATAATCTTTTTTAATACCCTTTCCATATAAATACATTAAACCTAATCCACTTTGACCAACTGGATTGCCTAAATCCGCCGCTTTTTTAAAATATTTATATGCAGTTTCATTATCTTGTTTAACAATATCACTTCCTTCCAAATATATCTAAATTTAAAAAAAAATGGATGCTCATGTAGTAGGGGTGTATACGTTAAAACATACTTTATTATTTTGTTTGTTTATTTTTTACTTGCCTTTCCCAAAAATGCCATGGCTATGGGATTACCAGCGTCAGCTGCTTGTAAAAAATAATGCAAAGCCCTATGATGATCCTGTAACACACCCCTTCCACCTTGATAATGCAATTGTCCTAAACCCAATTGGGCCTGAATGTCTCCTTTTTCAGCCAAAAGTTGATAATATTCAATAAGATCATTATCTAAAATCCCAGAATTAAAACCTGGATTTTCAATTTCTTCCAAAAGTCGTACCCTTTGAACAGCGGTTCCTCCCGATAAAGAAACTTCTCCAGCCACTAAAATTATAAATTATTCATGTAAAACAAGGGAATCGAGTAGGCAAACTGGTAAAAATAAGTAAACTCGTACCTTTGTTAGCAACTTTTCTGTAAAAATCTAAAGCTTTTTCACAATTTGCTGGGACAGTAGTACCAGACCAATACCTATATCCTAAAGCCATTCGAGCCCAAACACTGCCTCCCAAAGCTCCAAAAGTATAATGAACCAGTGCCCTGGCTTGAGAAACATTTAGACCAATACCTGTTGCATACAAAAATCCCATTCCCTAAAATAAAATTAGTATAAATAAATCGAAAGACTTAAATAACTTTATTTTATTATTTAAGAAAATAAATAAATAAAAATGGAGCAGTATTTATAATAAAATTTTTTATCTAAGTAATATTTGAAAAAAACCACCAACCATATGAGCATCAGGTACACCTTGTTGGGCTAATTCTTCAAAAGTGTTTTTAGCAGATACAGTATTTCTAGGTAAGGGAGTGCCGAGTAATTGAGCCCAAGCAACTGCTATTCGAGACTGCTGATGATTCATAGATGCTGCTTTGCTTAGTAAACTGAAAGCTTCAGATTTTTTTGGCTTGGTGGCACTTAACATTTTCATAGCTTTTTCATAAATTTCTTGAGCTTTAACAAAATAATGATAAACAATTAATTACAAGAAAATTTCTGTATATTTTTTTCTAAAACTTGGTATTTTAAATAATTTTTCTTAATTAATATTTTTAAACAGTTATTACGCCTAAAATAAATTATGTTTTAGCTTTACTGAACAATACGAACATGCTTGTTTAAAAAAAAATAGAAAAATCTAAACACAATTCATGCACAAAATTCTAATAACTCAAAATTTTGGACATTTCAGGAAACCTTTAAAGAACTAACTCACCTTCTTTCTCTGTGTGACTTAGTTCTGTTTCTGGTTCATTAGAAAAATTATCATTTGGTGGCTGAACTGACAATTTACTATTACTTATTGTTTTAACATTATTTAATTTAGTAGGTTCGTTGTTCCCTTTCCCTTCATTTGTATTAAATTCAACTACATCTACCATTAATT